TTCTCATTCTCTTCTTGTTGTCCTTTATAAATTATAAGCGAAAAGAGAAAGACAATCTTTCAGCATTACGAAGGATAGCTCCATCTCGCTATTTTGGCATTTGCCCTGTTTTTGTTAATTTTGGTCGATGACGCACAACGTTTCTTGCTGAGAGAAACAAAAAATTAAGAAATCAATTACGTCAACTATTTTATAATTGAAAAGTATTTCTAAATAGTAATATGTTGGATCATGCGCAAGACTTACTTCAATATCAAATATTTATATCAATCAGTTTGTGAATGATACTGAATGTATAAAAACTAAATCTATTGAATTTACCATCGTCTATAAGAAATCTTCACAGAAATCAATATTTATAGAAGAAGTTGCATTAACGTCGATATGTTAGAGAAGTAGAATAAATAAGTACACTTAACCTAGAACTCTGAAAGAACCAGCACGACTGATATTATAAAGAGATTCTGCTATTTTTGTACCTTCCGGTATATACTTCAGTAGATCTTTTCAAATACCTCATGTGTGATATGTCGAAGCATTGAACTTCATTATAATCTTTTGTTAAATCTTCCTCATAATACTTCTAATTATCGGCCTTGATGTTTTATATAAGCCAATAACATTCATGGTATTTTTATTTCAAATTACATTCTACTGTTCTACTCTCAAACTCTCTCTTAATGTCGGCATCAACATTGTTGTATACTATTCAACGGAATTTATTTCGATTTGGTGGTCCATTATTAATAGCTATTGGTAGTATCAGTTGTATAATAAATTTACTGGTATTCACAAAAGATACTCTACGAAAAAATCCATGTACCATCTATTTTATATCTGTCAACATTATCAATTTCTTATATTTTTATTTGGGTCTTCTTTTTACAACATTTGCAGCTGGTTACGATATTGATCCTAGCTCAAACAATATCATATTCTGTCGATTTCGCTATTATATTGCCTTGGTTCTGGCTTGTTGGGAATCATCTTGTCTTATTTTGGCATCCATCGATCGGATATTAATTACTTCACCAAATGCTAGAACACGAAAACATAGTACACGTCGTTTGGCTACTATAAGTATGATTAGTATAGGTTTATTTTGGGTGATATTCCATATTCATGCGTGGATCTTCATGGAAATTTTACAATTTGCACCTAATTATTTTGTTTGTTTCTATCAACCAGGTACATATATGACATTTATGTCTTATAATTCACTTGTTATCAATGGTGCTCTTCCACCATTACTAATGACAATATTTGCCTTTTGGACAGTGAAGAATATCCGTCAAGTACGGCATGGAAGACATCATTCTAATTCAACATATACTGGAACTACAGTGATTGGTAGATCTTATGCTCTTCAGTCTAAAGATCAACAAATGATTCGAATGTTACTTGTGAACATCATTATTTTTATCATTTGTAAATGTCCAGTAACAATCTTTTACATTTATCAACAAAGCACGGAACGTGAAAATAAGAGTGCAGAACAGCAAATAATAGAACAATCAATTCTTCAAACGACATACTTTGTCTTCTTCATTGAGAATAGTATCGGTTGTTACATCAATATACTCATATCGAAAACTTTTCGTAAAGAACTTAAGCATATCATCTCAAACACTTTTCATCTGTAATTTCCTCAAATGCATGAACTTTGAAAATCTTTTCATTGAAACACTTAATTGTTGTAAATCTTTTGCAGACATGCAAGCCATAATATTCTTTAATAAATAATTAATATTGCTAACTCACTTTGCTTGCTCTATCGAGCAATGATTGAAAACAACCAGTTCAGTTAAATTTATTTCGAAATAATGTGAAAGACCGACTGAATTCATCTATCAGAACCGTTCATTTTTCTAGAGTGCATCAAGGATGATTGTTTGAAGGCAGCATTTAATCATCTGTATACGGAAATATATAAGTTGATTTTCAATGAGATAACATGTTTTATTATTTGGTAGAACTACTTTCTCTTATTTATAATTCTCATTCATTTGTATTTCTTTCGAATTAATCTCACTAAGACAAAATCTATTTAGAAGCAAATAACTTAACATCCGTTCTTATAAACTTTTCTTGCTGTGAATGTCACAAGATATACCATACATGCTTAAGCATAGTTATTTTCTTGGATTGACGAGTTTAATAAAGAATTCCATCTAGATAGACTAGTATAATAAGAAAATGTGTGATATAATACTTGTTTGCCTCCAAATTTCTTCTAGATAAAATCAATAAGAGAAAAATTAACGTAGTTGTTCATATCACTTAATAATTAGTAGGCATTTTGTAAGTGACCATCTTATCGAAATTTGAAAAAGATACCTATAAATTCGATTACGACGACATACCCTCGTCTTATATCTAGTTATGTTCAAATATTTCATCCCTTTTCTTACAATAACAGTTCGAATGGTTTCATGCTGAAAACGAGTCTGTATATCATGCAAGACACACGATATGAACTCGCAGGCGATGAATCAATGACTATTTATTCTTTCATCATGCGCATGCTCTTCTTCCACCAAGTGAACGAGCTTCTACGAACCGAAGGTCGTGTCTCTTCTGGTTGTAATTACTTGATCTTATAGAAGCTCTCTTCAATACTAATATTTGTTTGATAGAGAGTAAGTGACAATGATATCAAGATTCAGAAAGATAAGATAACTTCTTCAGATATTACATGATGTTCAATAGACCTAAAGAGACTTGGACTTTTCTGCTTTTACGAATGAAAATGATGTAATTGTCATGTCGGAAACTACGATGCATATCCAAACCAAAGCGTTGAAGGTGACAAAGAAACTTTCTAAGAAATTTTCCGTTGATGTTGATATCCAAGGAAGACCGCATGATTAAAGGATGGTTCAAGGAACCTATAATAGTCTCCAAAGAATAGAGTATGGAAGCGAATGAGAGCATGATAAACAATCTAGCCATAAGATTCTGATGAAGGAGAATGGATACAGTTGGAAAGGATAATGGTGTAACGACAAGTGCTTGGGGTTCAGAATTGTATATGACTGGGGGATTATGGTCAATATGGAAGGCATTTGGTATCGAGGTAGAGAGAATCCAAGGACTACTACCATAAGTCGTATAAATTAGATGTTTCAAAATCCAAATCATAAAATTGTATAAATGAAATATACATTTGAATATAATATATTATTTTAGCACTCGTTTTATAGGCTACATTGAAAAGTTTGCAATGGAGACTACTGATTATTGTTAGAAAATTTAAGCAAGATATAATATTTCTCAAAAATAGTTTGTTGAACAGTTTAACATGTTTTCACAACGTACAACACAATGTGATATTTGCTACTTTTGAAATGAATATTTGAATGACTCATAATTAACTTTGAATTACACATAACAAGATACACCCACGCAAAAATAATTATCTGTTCTGTATAATAATTCTCCTGTAACAAGTGAAAACACCCCTCATCAATTTTTCCACCGATGCTTTTTATCATATAAAAAAGCAGCCTCCGTGATAAGTAATAGAAAAAAAAATCTCATATACTGTACTTATGGATCCTCATGTTGGTGCGTGCTACAGTTAAAAATGATTATTCTTTACATAATTCACTGTATTGAATTGAAAAATTATCATATGATAGTTTAAAACTACTGTTTTCTAGATCGTTAGCTTTCAATGATTTTCTGTATAATTAAAATCATCGTTAAAAAGAATCTTTTTTTCAATAATTATCAAGTTCATATAATAGAAAACAAACAATTTCACAATAATTAATTATTTATTTTTCATTATGATCGATATTGGCAATAACCAAGACAAGTGTATATAATCGCATAATATGATATGAATCATAATTTGCAATTACTATGAATGAATTTGAAATACGAATGTTTAGTGCTATGTCAATATTATGAATTACGTTTTTTTTATACATTAACTTAGTCTATATATAAATTTGGTTGCTAATGATAATATTTTCATTACAGAAAAATAGATGATGATTCAAGAGCAACAACTGAATGGCGTTCGATAGGCACCTAATACAACTGAAACCTTAACTAAATGTCGCAGACTTTGATGATACAAAGAAGATATAGGAGGCTACTTTTTGCGGTAGAAAAAAATAGTAATAGATTGTGGAATAACAAAATAATACATTGTATGGGCGTATTTTCGCTGAATATGTTTTTGACAAGGAAAATAAGTTTCCTCAATCATAACTTCAGTACATGAGGACCAACAGAGAGCAGTTTGGTACTGATGATCAGGGTTTTGTCGTTGTAGGAATACACCCAAAATATCAGCTCAATATCATAAAGAATAATAGCACTTCATGGAAGGTGGCTACGATTGTCCAGAACTATATATATGCATACTTATACTTTATTTGGTTTCAAGCGATATTTGGAAACGAATTACTTGGATGCCAATTTTATAATTATTTTGAACGAAACCATTTTAATACTTTTTTTTTTTGTTCAACTCGAAACTTATAGTGTGCTGAAAAGATAAAGAAAAGGTCTCACTCGTAAGAATAAACTTCAATCTGCATTCTAAAAGATGCAATAACATATAAATCATAAATAATAAGATTTTATCCTTATGTTTAATTGTAGAATTTAAATTAGAGAGCTGTGCTAGAATATCTTGATTTTAGCTTTATTTTTCAAATCTTTTTAATCTTAATATCTAGTGTTTATTAAAACCTAAAACATAAGCAGTCAACATCATACTGATACAGTTAATACAAAACAAAACAAAAACATTTTATTAATGATGAGTAAGAGTTTGTTCGGTTTGAATAACAATCGATGAGATTTTTTCTGCAAGCCATTGAACTTCTTGTGTTTTAACAACAGCTTCATCAACAGTAAAGTAGCCACTGATAAGATCTGATAAATATATAACAGCACAATCAAAATTATATTTATTAAGTAAATATCGTTATGTTATGTCAATATATGTATCTTGAATGCGTAGAATTTTGTTTGGTATTTGATCAATTAACTAGCGAGGTATTTGAATAGACTGTATAGCGAGTTGTTGAAAATGAAAGAATAGCAAGAAATAATTTCATTATGATCATATCAAAATCAAGTCGCTTTGCTATACGTTTAGCAGCAGGTAATACACTTGGATGAGTAATCATTTCAAGAGTATTGAAGTAAGCAGGACAATCAAATAAATGAATTTTATAACCGATAAAATGCGTACAAAGATTTCCCGTATGTTTAAATAAATTATGAAGTAAAAGCGAACGATCATCCTCAGACAAGGAGAGAAAGTTTTGATTGTTTGTATATAATGATTGACTTTTATCTAATACCATTCCAACAAAGTTCAGTATTGGTTCTTGTTTAAAACGAAATTTAAATGGTAAAACACTTTGTTCAAGCATGAAATGTTCACCAATTGATAGTCCACTATATTCATCATAACAATTTGATAGATTTGAGAGTAGATTCCATTGATCAACAGTTAATGCTGATTGATCTGATTGTAAAAGATTCAAAGTAGGAAGCTAAATGACAGAAGCATATCTGTAAAATATAGATAATTTATGAAATTCTTTAAAAAAAATCTATTTGACCAGTTAGTTTTCATGAAAATTACATTTGAACCGGTATTAGATGCCTTTCATATCCATAATAATATGTTGTGAAATGCTATAGAATGATCCTGAAAACTCTTAATAATATAAAGAACTGTTTCTAGAAAGTTTTATGTCACTGGACACTCAAATGAAAGTATTAAGAAAAAATCTTTTGTTTGGATTTAGATGTCATTTTAAACGAGTTCAAACCATTCTTTTACTTGATTTTATTTAACAGATGAGATTCTCTATCAATTGGTTAGAAAACGCGAAATACTGGATAGCATATAAATCTAGTTTTGCTGCATGGAAAAATTATTGTCAGTATAAAAAACTATATAGACAGTTAGAATTCTCTCCTATTATAGTGTATCATGTAACCGGCGCGTCATATTATCCGTATCATTATTTTAATCAAGTTCGCACATAAACGTAAGAAAAAATTGAAAAAGCATCAATTCGTTCAAATTTTTGACGCTGACTGTGTTTAAGTATGATAATCAAATAATCTTACTTGTTCAGGTGCAATTAATCTACGTAAAGTTGTTGATGTTGTTTGTTTCTTTTAGCAAATGAAGGTCGAACCAATTCAACTTGCATTCCACTATTTAAACATTTTACCAATCGACAATAAGAGCATACATGAGGATTATTTATTATTTATTTCACAATGACCATCATAGGGGCATTTTAATACTTCCTAGAAATAAAAACAAACGAGTAAATATAATGAATAGAAAAATATGTATATTTTCAATTAACTTTTTCACGTTCAGAATTTCGTTTGAATAACATCTTACATGTAGTACATGAAACTACGCCAAAATATGAATATTTAGCAGGAGTTCCACAAATTTTGCAATCAGTTTGTACTATTGTTGACTGCCTTTTTTTTTATTCGTAGAATTATTCGATGATGATTCTTTCATTGACAAGGTATAAATTTTTTTTATTCGATCTAAAAAAATTCACAAACCATATTAAAATTACAATTTTCAAAAGAAATAATCAAGAAAAAATTTGAAATTTTACCAACTAATAATCAGAACTATAAAGAATGTTAAAAACATGGTAAACAACACAATTATTTTCTTCAGAATATTTTTTTTCCTATGTCTGATAAAAGCCATGATTCTTATGACAATTCTATACTTATTTTGTTACTGTAAGATACAAGCCTTCAAGTTGATGAAACGTAAAGCAGACGAGAACAGACAAGAAAAAACAAAGAAAAACATTTTTTTTTACTTTCTTTCTGTAAACCTTTGAGATTTCTGAAAACAACATGAAGTATTGGTCGTACCAAAAAAAAAATATTGAAAATCATGACCATCGGAAAAAAGTGACCAGACTTCAATATTTTAAACATTTTTCATTTCGTTGATCCTTGTTTGTGCTTATGTCCACCTCTGTACGTTCAATATTTATATACAAATACAGTAGAATAAATTACATTCTATAAATAATAACTTTCTTTCCATTGATGATACCTCTACACTATCGTATCTTGGATTTGTTTCTAAACTAAAGCTCATTATCAACAAAATTATTTAATTAAAGAATGATTATATTATATTTTCATTTTATGCGTATCTGTCGCTCTTCAAACACGACGTCTTCTATTTTATCACGAAAAGGAAAGTCAATGGTTGTCATTGACAATTAATTATCTAAGCTGAATAAAAACGACTATTACAGCAAAATGCTATCCATGTGAGCATCATGAATATGATTCTTTGGTACATACGGAGATATAAGATGTTCTTTGAAAAACTAAAGGTGATCACTGACATGTAATTGAAACAGTTCTTTGTTGCTCAGACATTTCGTTAGTTTATTTATAGTATTAATAATACTATGAATGACTCTGTTCTCGTATTTTCGTGTTCGATAAGTTTTTTAATCGTTGGTCAAAATGTTCATGTTAATGATTTTTTTATTTTCGAAGCATTTTTTTTCGGCATTTTTCTCATATACCCTGAAATTAATGATGCATGAAGAACTAATAATGTGTGGGAATATACTGTTTATTTGGATATGATATCTGAAGCTCTATTTAAACAAATGCATCATCTTTTTATCAAATTAGAATGTTTGAGTGTGTTTTTGTGATAGTGATCTTTGTTGACTTCCGATTAAGCCCATCGTACTTTCCAATAGTATGAACCGCTTTCTATGCGGATGCTCATCGCACCATCGACTATCGAGTCGGGTCGTAACCATACAATGCCACTAATATTTGCCTGGAGCGCACATGAAGATCGATGCCAGATTAATATGCCACTTTCTTCAATCGACAAGCAGTGAGCTGTTGGTTTGATAGGCTCAAATGTGATAACAGAATGAAACGAATTCGGTATGGTGACATTGTAGGTGACTGTATTGTCATCATTGTGTTGTTGCCATGAAACAAGAATCGGTCCGTTGATTGTGTGCACTTCGGCTTCTATATTCATCAATTGTCGAGTCAATCGTGGATGAATAATAAGATCTTCGACAAAACCATCCAATTGTACTCCGGCCAAGTATCGATAGAACCAAGCACCAATACTATTAAACATATGATGGTTTAGACTATCTGTACCACCAAAGCCTTTTAATAAAGCATGAAACGTTTCCCAGTTTGTTGTGGCATTCTGTACATCATTATTGAACATAAATCCGAAAGATGGATAAGTTGTTTGAGTCGCCACTGTCACCGCTAAATCATGATAGCCGGCATCAGACAAAACTGGAAATAGTGCAGCCGTTCCTATAATACCAGTTGTCAAATGATTGTCATTAGCAGTAATATCATTAACAAGAGCTTTGATGACCGATGCACGAAGATCTATAGGTACAACATTGGGTAGTTTCAATGCGAGTGCATTCGCCGTCTGATGTCCTTCTGCATATCCATTGACGAGCGGATTGTAAAATGTTTCATGGAATTCTATTGCCAATTGATCATACAATTTGCTATATTTGTCAACATTCGTCTGATTATTTAGAATTTTTGACAGAATTATCATTATTTGTACATCACTTAAATATGAAAATGCTGAGACCAATGAACTATTCGTTACAGGATAATGAGCTGGTGTTTCCCAATCGCCGTAAGCGAAATACATATTCCCTAAACCACTTTGTTGTGCACGACTAGTCAAATAATCTACCCATGCTTGAATTCCAGCATAGTGTTGTTTTACAATGATTGTATCATTGTAATGTTGATAAATACGCCAAGTTATTTCTGGATAAGCATGTGCCCATGATGGATCTGCTACATATCCACCGACGGAGTATGGTGCTGTATCAGGAATCGATCCATCTTCATGCTGAACATCTGCAATATTTCGTAGAAAATTCACATATAATCCATACAAATCAAAGTTGAATAATGCAGCATCAACTGACAGAGCTGCATCACCAAGCCATCCTCGTCGCTCCTGTCGTTGACTACAGTCTGTTAGAATCGACATTATATTGCTCAGTTGTGACCACAGAGTATTATGTTGAATTTGATTGAGTACGAGTGATGATGAAGTAAAATTACCGATCAGAGTTGTTTCACTGTGTATTGCTGCGCAAACGACTGACTCGATATTAATGTAGTTAGCATATATTGAGATATAACGGAAGCCATGATAAGTAAACAGAGGTGCCAGTACTTCATGTGGATTACCTTGAATAATAAAATCATCGGATGCAGATATAATTTGATAATTAGCAGAGTTCAGTCCTTGATATGTAATTCCATCTACACCTGGTGCATTTAGTAATTCTGCATGTCGTGTTGATACAGTCATTCCTTTTCTACCTGTAATTGTTAATGTGCAGTATCCAGCAATATTTTGTGAAATGTCATATGTCGGAACTTGTTGGTTCGCTAAAGGTGTAGCATTAAACACACCACCATCCATTATATTACCACCAATAACACCTGATGGCATTGACTTGTAACCAGTTTGTGAAGCTGAGGTAGCAATGTGCAAGGCATATGGGCTAATTCGTATTGGATCCATAGACTGATATGTTAACTGACCGGTTGGTGAAGTCAATGGCGATTCAATTAGAGAGGCATTCAGCCATAAACTGTAAGGATCAGTGAAACCAGCAGTTGACCAGTTGTATCGTTCAGCGCGAGTATCATAAATTGTTCCCATATAGATACTATCTTTACGATGGGCACCTTCACGACCAAGCCATGATATGTCGGAGCTAATATTCATCGTTGTATGGTCGCTAAGTACAATATTAACTTGTAAAAGTAGTCTTGGCGGTGGACCAAATACTTCTGGAGCCGGTGCAGGAACTCCACCACCCCATTGTTCATGCGTATAAAATCCAAGTCCTAATCGTACACCGATGCAGTTAGTTGATTGACCTTTCAAAAATTCAGTAATATCATACGAAACGTACAGAACACGTTGCGTATATGTTGTCCACCCAGGATCTAGACGACGTGAAGGATCAACGTTTACACCATTAACATATAACATACCGTAACCCATTCCACTCATAAATACAGTAGCGGATAAAATGCTTTGTGGAATATAAAATTCGCGTCGCAACTCATTCATATTAATTAGGCGCGAACCTATCCAATTGGCCGTCAATTCATTTTTCGGATTGAATAAGGCGGTGCGAAATCGACCACTTACTGGTTTACTAACTGCATCACTAGACGACCAATATTGAATCGAATATATATACCGTGTGTCAGATGTCAAAGCTGGACCATTGTATAAAACATTGGTGGATACGGATGATATAACACGTCCTGAATCATAGATGACTAATGGTTTCGATGTTGGAGAGTAGAAACTGATTTCTCTGACAATGGTCAACCGATAAGCTGTCTGATGGATGCCACGTCGTGAAGTATCATTGCAAGAATACTTTTCATCATCGATCGACCAGGAAAAAATCGGAGTCTCAACAACGATATCAGGATGAGTGTCGACGTCATGATGATCGATACGAACATGGCGTGGTTGTATGGGAGAATTTGGCTGTTGCGCCCGAATGGAACTCGATAGACGAAGAATATAGAATGCCGATAGGAGAAATGAAACAACGATCATAATGACGGCGATCGGAAAAAGTTATTTTCAAATCTTACAGTAATGATGCCAAGAAAGACTTTCGAGAAAAAAAAACGTCAATAAAATACTTATCTACGAAAAATATAACTATTTAAAATGTCATATGTGTTTATGCATATCTATAGTGAAATTCAGAATCTTAAGGTTGAGACCTACTTTCTCTTTATCAGAGTATCCACGGAGCCAACTAAATTTCTACAACTACTTTTAATGAAATCCACATGTTTTAACCAAACCAATTGAGTCATGTTCATACAGCAAGGAAGCGATATACGGCTACTCTTCCCTCCTCTTGATCCTTGTTTATTCAACGTTCATTAAAAATGGTGGTGGCTTTATTATTTGCCTTACTAAAAAAAGTTGTCAAACATTTGATAGATAACTTTGTTGAATTCACTAGGAAAAATCTAGACAGTATATACGATTGTCAAGGTTGAACTGTTTTAAAAAATGGTTTACAATTATGGAAGACGAAGTATATGATGAAAACCTTTTGCCTACTTGACAAAAAAGGTTGTTTTGCGGCTGTAGATATAGAACACAGATAACCCTTTTGCCTCGATGCTGTTCGCGAGTAAGAAGACAAGAAGGACGACAACATGTCACGAGACAGAAGACGATAAAAATTAAATCAACAAGATGGAAAAGCTTGTTAGCGACGTCTCTTGCAGGGCTGAATTGTAAAAGTCACATGTCTTATTTAGATTGACTATACTAATACAAGTCTTTGTTTTTCATTTTATTCTCGTAGTATATTATTATTAGTATAAACATTGGTTTGATGGGTAAAATAAGCTTGTTGTACATATTCGTTAAAACTATAGAAGATCTTAATGATTTATTATTTATCTTAATGAATTTAGAGAAGCTTTTATTAACTATGACCAAAGGTTAGAACTTAATCAGTTCATGCTTTTGTGTTGGAAAGAAGCGGAAGCTAGAAAAAGCTTGGATTTTAATTTCCATTCACTATTATATCGATATGAAGCTATTACGACGACCAATCATATATTACATAGAATCCAACAACAGATAAAAAGCTATAAAATGTCGACAAGAGTCTATGGAATACCTATATATTTTCCCTAGTTACCGACATCATATAGATTCAAAGAGAACTAAAACTTTAGACGAACATACATGTCTGGATTCACCGGACACGCTTGGATAATTTGTGCGAAGTACTTTTTTTCCATAAAACTACTCGTTGAGGATAGTGTGTTTATTTAACAAAATCTTTTGTCGTTCATCAGGTAGATGGAAGCTATAACAATGGAGGAAGTTTAAAGATTCAGTGATTTAAGTGATTCTTCAAGATTTCAATATTGCAAAGACGTTTTTTTGATTTATCAAGAACTTTTCGAGTTTCATATGCAGAATGAGTAATGAAAGACAAGATGCCATGAGTTAGGTACACCCAAAATGAGTTTAGACAGTCCCAAGAACTTCATTCGATGCAGGCTTTTGCATGCCGTTGCAATGGCTAATACAGGCGATATCTGAAAAAAGATTCGTAGCCATCACGACCAGGACATATCACTACTATAGTTCAGGAACAAATTCATTCATTGAAATTTTCATCTGCTTTATTTCGTTGATGTGGACAGCCATGTCGTGGTTGTCATTCTCTATAACGGTGTTTTTCATTTTTGGATTTTCTGATTGGTTGATTGTTTGATGAATAAAATTTTTTCTCTCGCCGTTGTAATTCGTCGTGATCGCTGCTCAATCTTCAACTAAAACGATATAGGATTTTTTGGTTAAAACAAAAATCTGTAAGATGTGATATAGCTACATATTTGATTTAAATAATTTTACATGTTTTTCCCTAAACACATTGTAGAATATATTTATCTACCATGTATAGAAGACTTTGTAATCAACAAATTGATAATTTGTTAATGATCATGACTGAATAAATTTCAACTGCAGACAATATCTCATTATTTGTACTGTTCTTTTTTCGTTTAAAAGAGAAAAATGTCACTATACGCCGCGACTATCATAACCAGGTAGATAAATTTGATTTAAATGAAATAATAATTAATTTAAACTCTACATTGTTCTGTGATAGTTTTGGATGTAATGTTTTGATTTAATTTTCTTTTAAATTTTTTCTAAATAAAATAATAAAAAAAATTGATGGCTGATACTATGTCAGATGATATTCCAAATACGTTTTGTTTTTACTATAAATTCCATTGTTTACCAAAATTTGAAATTTCATGTACCAGTAGATTTCCTTATGTTTTTTTTTATTGAGTGAGTATTCTAACTGATGTATACATTTCTTTAATTTATAAGTGATTCAATATTCATTCACACGAAAGTTGAAATCAATAGAAGTGATTGTTCAATAGTTTACGTTTGAGGATACAGTTGTTTCTCTTCTTTAAGCTCGCATCTACACCTTCATTAGTACAAGACCATCAACTATGATGTTGTAAGATCTTAAAATGATCTCAAAACTGATTACGAAAAAAAATTAATTGCAATTTATAAAAGGAAATGATCAACTAGCAAAAATAACTTATTATAATCATAATTCAAATTGAAGCTACAAAATAAAGTTTTAGTTTTCGATTGGAATTTGCAGTGCTTTTAATACTGTTGGTACCATAACATAGAAACTTCCTGTCAAAATTAATTCTAAATATTCCGCTTCTGTAAAATGTTTCTTTAATTGTCTGTCCAATTCTTCACTGATCGTTCCTCTGTTTTGAATTAATGATTCCATTAATTCGAGTACCACCTTTTCTTTTTCGTCAAAAAGAGAACTTTTTTGCCATTCTTGAATTGAATTAATCTTTTCTATTAATATACCACATTGTTTTGCCATTTTTTCATGTTGAAACCATTCATATTGTGAATTACAGAGTTGTGCACCTCGCAAAATCATTAATTCACGAAGTTGCCGTGATGTTGTACAGTTACGTCGCAATGAATAAGCAAAATCAATCCAAGATGAAAGAAGTGTTGGATTATTTGATAAGACTTTATAAAGATTAAGATCAGGTTTTCCATCTAGAGCAACAATTTTTTGTTGAAGTTCGATAGGAACATCTTTTAATGGTAACCTTGCTTGAAGATTATTATCCTCTTCCGACATTGTTTTTCGTTATGATCTAGAAAGAAAACAGATATATCATTCAGAATTCTCGAACACTAATTAATGCTCAAAAAAAGTTTGAACTAAAAACTTTAAATATATGGATATTATACCGTAAAATGATTGGTAAGTAAACAACATGAAATAAACTATGACCTTATTCGTATTGCTTCAAAACAACAACAAAAAGAATAGTTAAACACGTTTCATGCGATGTTGGCTAAGGAAAGAAAAACAACCTACACTGTTGATCTACCACAAGTGGCTATATCAATCTTTCTTTCTTTTTCTTGTTTTATAAGATAAGCTTTTTCTATAAATCGAAAAGTACTTATGAAAAGATCTTATAATTATATGAAGAGTTATTAAAAAATTCAAATAAGTTACTCAAGCAAACATGAAAACTTCAATTAAACATGTTAAATATATATATATTATGATGCAGCTCTATCAAATCTTGATGCAAACTTGTATGAGTTCACTCCTTTCTTGCTTTTTTTACATCTTAACTACAATTAGCATACACCTTGTGATGTCGAGTATGATACCATTTTCATATTGATTTAACAATTGTTTGCATTTACGTTCTGTTATTCTTAATAACGTTTGGAAGGTGTGCATCGTCAAGCGACACATGCTGCTAATGCTGATTTATTCCACTCGAAAAAAAAATCGGATTAATTCGAAGAAGTGTATTGATTCATTCATTTTTTCTACTTAATAATAAGCACTATGACGTACCAATTAAAAAAAGAATATTTAACGAATTGGGATGCACCAAAGTCAAATGAAAAATCGATATTTAGTGATGACCAAGATACTTATATATCAGAAAAGTCTTCTATTATATCATTGCGTGAAAATAATCAACCATATATTCCAAATAATAAAGAATTATTAACACCACCCGTATTGCGTACCGGTTTACCAAAAAAGCAACCTCATACTCTTCGATATCCTTATAATGATTTACCAAAAAATGGTATACCACTTGCTACTCAATATAATAATGCACAAAAGGAAGAAAAAAAAAGAAAAAAAGCTGTTCGTAAAGCACCACCAGGTCAAGGAAATCTGGTTTCATTACCTGAAAACAATCCATCTGCAATGAATGATAACTACTATCCTTATTGGCATTATTACAAACTGAAAAATCCTGATTGGAGTATGCGTCATCGTCAAACTACTGATGGTCAACTAATACCTTATGATCCAGTTGATCCTTCAAAATATGTTCATGAACCTGCATTAACAAAGTCACCAACAACACCACGCCGACATCATCGAAAGTCTCATCATAATAACC